CGGTCTATAATTTGTGAGGTTGTGCTTATCACCTGATTTATACAGTGGAATAACCTTTGCTATTTTCATATTATTAGGGAACTGACCAAGTCGAAATGACATGTTAAAAATATGGGTTAATGGTTTGCATATCCCCTCAATTACCCATTTAACAGTTGTCATAGTGATGCCATCACTATCACTAGATGTTTTGTTACCACATTTATTCACTATCTCTATAATTTCCTTTTCAACTATGGGCTTCAAAAACATAGAACTCATGTTCCTTTCGATTGTATTATTATTTATAGTGACGGATGTATCATCTGTACAAATGCTTCTTGCTAAACCAGGACCAACATTCACAAAGAACCTATTAAACTTATCTACTACATCCTCCAATCTATTAACCGGTGTATCATTATCCATAAAATATTGAGGGTAGTTACTCTTGCTGGAACTGTTTCTAATCAATTTATTTAATATATTCCAAGTACCTCTCATATTATTTTTATTATCCTCTAATACTTTAGAGTAATATAGTTTCTTACATCTCCTCAAAATCTCAATTTGTTCTTATATGACTTATATTGATAAGTCATAGTCAATTTTTTCTGTAAACAAATGCCGCAAATGAAATCTTTTGAGTTGCTAAATTCATATGTGGTTAGTAATTTTGCAGTACTGTACTTTCCGGACTATAAGACGCTACTTTTGTCATCGTGGACAACACACGACGAAATGCATATGATGCCACTTCAAGTTACAGGTGATCGATCTGGCTGTCGAAGTGTCTCATGTTACAACGTGGACACCTGCGGCTATGTACATGTTTTATCGTCTTACATTTAGAGGGTACGGTTTATAGTCCGGTGCGGCTTATAGTTCGGAAATTACGGTACTGTTAAATTTTTTATTTTTTTTTAAATATGTTTAATGTTGATGTTTTATTTTTCAGTCATAAAATTACATATTTTAGCACAGGGACAACCAAATGGTTTGGCTATCCTAGCAGTTTACTGTAAGGAGAGACTTTGCTGTTTGGGATCTACAAAATCAGTCAGATTAACATCAGTTATTCATGTTCACCTCAGTCAGCCTTAAAGATAAACAGTTTTTAATTTAATATTTTGCTCCATATCCTGATACTGAGCCCAACCCATGAAGTCTGAATTTAATCAAAAGGTTTTCACAGAAGCAGTTAATCGGTTAATTAATTATAAGTAATGTATCAGTGATGTCAGCTGTCCCTGGTAGGCTTGTGATGAAGGCGGCTCTCGCCGCTGTGGCCCGGGTTCGAGTCAGGGTTGCGTCAGGAAGGGCATCCGGCGTAAAAACACGTGCCAAATGTCAACATGTGGCAATGGGAAAAGCTGATAGTGACTTTCTTTTAGTGACTTTCTTGGATCAGTGATATTATATGGAATGTGCATCCATGCTTTTTATTAGAGTAATTATTATTTAATTTCCTTTTTCTTTTTTTAAGTCACAGTGAAAGAGGCAACTGTGGAGAGGGGTTTTGAAAAGGGAGAGCCTTGGAAGTTGTGGGTGCTTTCCACAATGAGTAAATATGAATACATACATGTGCATGTAGAGTGATTTTTACCAGGTTTATTTGTTGGTAATTGTGACTGAGGTTTTTAGGTCAGCTACATTTGGGTCATGATGAGAGCAATGGGAAATATCAATACTTGAAATAACATTCTTAAGATATTAATCAGTTATAACAGTAGCACTAAGGCAGCAAACTTGATACACTGGTCACATGACTCCCACCTAGCTCATTAAAGGCATCACTGCTTTCTTCAGTCATGACCAAGCACCCTCTAATATCTTTAAACAACCAGGCAAAACCTGAAGTAGCAAACATTTTTTTCTCATCTGCTTCAATCTGAGCTGCAGTTAACCTTCTACTGTAGCAAACACAACTCACCGTGACCCCGCTTTCCAGTGACCAACCATTTTAAAGGTTTTATTGTGCAGCATCTACACTTTCTTGCAAACATAGTCATTTTTTTTAAGAACAGCTAAGTCCTCAGTGTGTAAAAATAGGTTTCTGTAAATATATGGACATTTTCTATATTTTTTTATTTTTTTTTTTTTTGTCGTCAGTGGATCCTTATTCTCCTCCGTTATTATTATTATTATTATTACATTACAGGGTGGAATTGTAAACGACCGTCAGCTGGCTCTTCAGTGCAACTATTCAACTAATTGTTCTTTTTTTTATGTCTTCGTATATATAGCCTAAACTGTCAGAAAAACAACTGGCATGAATTTCAGTGATGATTTCGGCCACATTAACATCTATATTTAAATGCAAAACAGCGAAAGGAACATATTTCTGAGCATTTGAAAATCAATAAAAGACAGCTGTATATCATGGATTAGATAAATTGCGACCCATTTAAATTGAGGATATATAATGTAAGGCTGCCATATGGATTTGTCGGATTAACGAGATGGGCAGCACACTTGTATTTGTGTTGAAAAAATGAGCTACTGTAATACAGTATCATGTATAGACCTTTACTAGAAGTTCTTTGGTTATAACACCACACAAGCCTCAAATCTTTGCATTCT